CTCTGGCGCTGCAGGGGTGGCATCAGCTCCCGGGGCAGGTCAGAGGGAGGGCTTCCAGGACTGGGTCACTGTCTTCTGCATGGAACAGGGCGTAGCTCCTTGAGCGTATCCGCCAGTTCACCGACCTCCTTCGCAGTCACCGGCTCCTTGCTCTTAGCCGATCCCGAGCCCCTTGCTTCTATCCCATCCTCCACCAACTCCTGCATGTCCATCTCGCCCTGAAGTGCCTTACGGATCTCCTTCATGTCGGGCAAAACGATCACACCCCCATCCTTAGACCTATTCACCAAGTTCCGATCGTAAAGCTGTCGGAGCGCCCGCTCCCGCATCTCCTTCGGAAAAGCCTTGATGAAGGTCCGCTTCACCGCTCCCGGAGTACCGGTGACGATCCCGTTCCGATTCAGATACTTCAGAATCCGATCGAACGAAGAGACGTACTTCCCGTACTGCTCCCTCGTCTGAACGCCACCTTCCTCCGCCACCTCCGCCGCGAGCCTATCCAGATCCGCCTCCCGATACCTTTGCTCGCTTTGGCCCCACTTCTCCAGCATCTCCTTCTTCAACTCCGCCCAATCCTTCCTCTCGTACCCATCCATATCCTCCACATCCCGCAACGCCTCTTCATCCTGGATAAAGTTGACCACCTGTCGAACCTTATCCGAGTCCTCCGCTCCCTCCCCATCCGCCGCAGCCTCGAAACGCTCCAGAAACCTCGACACTTCGGTAGTACTGAACCGAATGTTTGGATAGTCCTTCGGACGTACCTTCGCCTTCAGCGGACCCAAGGACCGCGGCGGCGCTGGGTCATCCACGTTCATCCTTTCCTCGGAACCTTCGCTCGGTACTCCGTAAGTTCCGACCTTCTTGCTCGATCCCGAAGCCTGTCCTTCGAAAAGCTTAACCTTTTCCGCCACTTCTGATCCAATGACCCCGTTCTTCTGGACTTGCTCGACCAAATTACGTCCCTCGGCAATCAGGTCGTCCAATGTCTCGGCCCGTTGTTTCCCCTTATCCTCCGCACTCGGTTGATTTTCCCGAACCGTACTCCCGCTTCCGTCGCTATCAGAAGGATCAGAAGAATCGTTCCACGCTCGCTCGTTTTCGATGTTGTGGTACGCCGGTGTGAAAAACTGTCCCGGAAAGCTCATCCACTATTCTTCGTACCGTTCGACCAAGGAAGTTGTTTCCCGGCCAGACCCCCAATTTGTGGAAAGCACGGCGCGCCCTAGGAGTTTTCTTGCACTTCTCCGCTCCGCAACGCGTCCTACTCCGGTTTTGTTGTCCGGGGTAACTTGCTTGATGGTCTTGTAGGTAGGTAAACTAGTTCTCTTTTTATTGATCTTTTGTAGGTAATACACTAACTCTACTCTATCTCTAACAATTCTTTAGGCTAATACACGATTCACTCCTAAGTCACTCTGTTTTTCTGATATGTTCTGAGTCCCCCTTCCCCCCCCTCTCTCTCCTCTTCTGCCTCGAACTCCTCTCCTCCTAGGTATCCCACACTCCAGTCCCTTCCTACTTCCCGCGATGTCATCCGCTGTCACCCCCTCGGACTCCGCATGTCACCCCTCCGACGCCTGTCGGTCCAAGTACTCCTCCGGCCGCTCCTAAGCAGGTCTCCCACCGCCGCTTCTGCCTCTGGTCCGCTCCGAACCCCGCTTCTGCCCCTCGGTGCTCCCCGCTCTTTGTAGCCTCTCCGCAGTATACACTGAACCCCCGTTCCGCAGTCGGCCGTGATCCCCGGCGTCCGCCGATGCCCGAATTCCCCGCAGTAAGCTTTTCAGAACCTTGTGCATTCGGTCTACCTTTCTCCGCTTTCCCGCGCCTCGGAAAGCTAGACTTTCCACTAATGCACGGCCGCTTTCCTCAGCCCGCTTGTGTAGCGTCAGCTCCGCGTGCTTTCCGCATCAGCGCCGCGAGCATTCCGCATGCCCCAAACAAACCGGCCAAAGCTTTGGCCAAGGCGCGCTCCCGCCACCACAGCGCGCCTTACTTTCCACACCAGACACTTAGGGCCAGAACCATAGGGCAGGAAAATTCAATTTTTTGGAATTTATCTTACTCAAATTTTTGTTTCATCAAAATTGACCATCACCTGAAGCCAATTTTTATTGTAAAAGTGAAGGATTTCGATTTTAGACGCCTCCACTTTTTGTCAAATTTTGTATAGAAGGCAGAAAAAATGTCTAATTTTCAAAATTGGACCCCATGGTACTGGCCCTTACAAAGTTCTAGATTTTCCTGAATCGTCCCCGAATTAGAAGCTGGTTTGAGCAAGGCATTTCCTCCTGGCTTACCGGATGAGCTTGAATTTGGCTCCAATGTGACTTGTGAGCCATGAATTCCTACTTGGCCTGACAAATCTCATGTCTTGCGGGCAGTTTTCACATTTTTCTTTCCCTCCGCAATTTTCGACGCTGCTTCAAACGTGATACAGTGTATAATGCGGTGTTCCCCAGGGGCCAGTGTAAGCCAAGTTGGTGTCACTTCAATGAACAAGATGCAAGCTTACTGCTTGAACTTGATGTTGGCACAAACGCAGACCTGACCAAAAGTTGAGTCATCCCATTGCGTAGTTGAGGCAGTGACCTGTGGAGAACTGCACTGCTGTCCGTACAATTCAATCCCACCAGTCACCCCACCCTAACAGATGCTGACTATCACAGGCCAAATGTGTCCTATTACTTCTACTTGAATGCGTCTTTCCTTCCATGCCCCATACAAAACAATTCTCAGAAACATTGATCATACACGAATCGTGCATGAAGGGCAAATTGCAAGTCAACGTGCGTTGATCTGCGTTGGTCCGAGAGGATCGTTAATGTGGAGCAACAAGGATTCGATGTTCCGAGATTCGGCATGTGAGTTAAATTACGGATCGGGGCCCGGAGCTACGCTTAAAACCCATTTTGTTGCAGATCATGACAGGCTATGCACCTGCGTACGACCTGCGTATCTGGATCAGGAGACTGATGACTTCCCGCTTTGGTTTGTAGTCTTTACTACATAAAGCTTGTACCCTTGAAGCATCCTGGTCGCCTTCATCCAACCTATAGCAATCAACCCGTTTCCAAACAATCAAATTCTTCCTACCATAACCCACCCCACAAATCCCGAGATGCTTGCCCATGGATTTGTGTTTGTCAGTGTGATTAGCCTGTTAGTCCGTAGCTCTCTTGCGATAGACTGTTATCCGGGCACTGTTGTGGACAGCAAGGAATGCCACAGGTACGCGTCGCGTCTCCGCTTTTATTTCCGGAATGACCCATGCATTGTTGCGTGCGATCTTGACCCACCAAGGTTTTTTTCTTCGAATGGTACACTCCTACTCCCATCCCACAGAGCACTCTCTCAAATCGTCTACGAGAAAGGCGATGTTCTTGGGACTGACTCCAAACACTTCGGATATATCTACGGAAACTGTTCTGTATGCCACCTTTCTTTTGATCTCAAATAACTTCGAGCTCCTGGTTGGTTAGAGTATCTTCTTCTGATGTTCCTGATTAAAATCTGCTCGGGCGGCCAACCACCAGATCATTGTCGTCAACCCCAAAGGAGCTTCTCCGTGCGCAAACAATTTCTGAAGGTCTCCTATGTTGACGATCAGCGAGTGTTCAGCCATCGTGAATCTAATTTCGTAATTTGTTCTGTATGATCACAGCTCCAAGCGACAAATTGAAAGCGGCTTCAACCAGATTCTGGGCAAATGCAAGCCTGAGGTAAGGCAGACCAGAGTTTCTTGTTTCGTATCCACAGTGAAAGCTAGATGAGCAACATGACTGATCAGGGTGCTCGATTTGGACAGAGCGGAGGGGGAAACCTCCCGGCCAACGAGGCAGTCTTCTTGAACATTGGTAACCGTGGAACGGGACCGTACGCGCCATACGAATCCGATTTCCCGTTCCTCAAGGAAGCCTGTGGACTGAACACCAACGCACCCGACACTAAAAAGGAAGATTGCTTAAAGTATGTTGTTCATTATATCTCAACCAAAGTGTCGACATGGCCACTCGAATTGCCCTGACCAGATGCTATTTTTCAACTGCTTTTAGGGCCTACAATTCTATCCCTCTGAGCGCAGAGGGTCAGTTCTTGAGCGACAATCACACCGAGACTATCAAAATTCTCAAGACCTACCAGACTTGTACGGTGAGTCGAATCGATTTCCATCCTACAATAACTGATCTCCTGCGAGCGAACTCCGCTGAATTCATTTGGATCCGGACTCCGAGATTGACTTTGAGATCTGCACGTCAACAGGTACACATCTACGCGTCTGATGGATCCAACATTGTCGCGTCAGTTTGATGGAGATTGAGCTCTAGCAGCTTTGTCCACAACTACTGACTGCGCTCGTTTTCTTCTTCTAGAACCAATGGCAACGTTCGTCCCGTATTCAAAAAGATGCTTAACCAGTGCAACGGCAAAGTGAGTTTCCTTGATTTCAACTTTCTATTTCTTATCTTCCCAGGTGAAATGATTGAAGGATTTGATTAACATGAGTTTATCTTGATGTAGTCTGGCGTGGTGAGCATGAAAAAAGGCGTTCAGGGACACAACGGCAGGTTGTTTTTGAAGACCCGAAGCAGCGTTCCCTGCGGGATTGATGGTGAAAACAAACAAGTTTGCCATTAAGGTGATCTTACGCTGGATCTCGATGTAGCCTTCTTTGATTGGCTCACTCAACTCCTCTGAGACTGACACAGTTTTGAGTTCGACCGATCAAATCTTGACCAAATATATGTTACCAGTCTCCTATATACCTCAGTGAAGTCGCTGCCAAATTGGACACTTGAAGAATGTATCATGGATGGGAATTCTATTGGTTGGACATTGTTTAATGAGTGTCGACAGTCAGCCAAGAGTGAGATTACGGCTCAAATCTTACTGATCTTCCGTCTGCAGCATCAGCATGCGAGTGAGTCTTTGAGCTAACAAGGATAGCTATGCTGTCACTTGCACATGGAGGATGCTCGAGTATTCTTTGACGCAAAGAAATATTTGTCAGATTTTGCCATTCAAAGACACTCTTATTTGATCATTGAGCTCATCCTGCCATGGGCAATGGATCTGATACGATAGATTGATTCCGAATTCTATCTTGACATCTATCATCATGTTTCAAAGAACTCTTGGCTTTTGATTTACAAAGCCTTGCGCTGTCAAAGAATTCCAGAAAGCTGGAGTGTTTGACTTATCAGAGAGATCGATGGACCCTATGAATGAATTTTGAGAGACATAAAGGAAGCCCCAAACGGCTCTAGAGTAAGCAAGTCAGATGATATCAACTTTGTCCAGTAAAAACATCTGGTACCCATTTTAACAGAAGAAAAAAAGAATGGGAGCTTTTAAAGAAGTGTGTGTCCAGGTGAACGAATATTTTTGAAAAGCAGGAAGAATTTGCATAGATGCCAGCTGAGCTTAACAACCAAAGAGCAGCCTAGATGGAAACTTTCTCAAAATTGCTCAGCATGACTGTTGGACCTATCAATTGTTTTGGCGCACTTCGACATAATGCTGACACTGCTTACATTATTTTTTGCTGAAATGGTCGAGGGGAAAACCAGAGTGATTCAGATGAGATGGCATTATTTTCTGCCCAATTATCACCATGGGTTTAAACAGGAACTGCCTTTAATGTAAGCTGGTGATTGTTTGATGGATCTTCAAGCCTTACTGATATTTGGCAATCCCAGTTGATGATATTCCGTTTCTCCTTGGAGCTCCTTGGAGACTGGTGCTGTGTGGCTCGTTAATTTCTGAGCCGAAGAGGTTGCGCATACATGCAGCGCTTGGATCGGCAGTTGGCCACAGTTGACTCTCGCAGTCTCAAATTTCAATTCACAGCCATCAGCTGCAGTCTCCCTCTACGAACCATCACCCCCTTAATCAGCAAACCGCCTGCTAATTATCTTCCAGGCTCAGCTCAGTCCAGATGTCATCATCAAGCGTCAATCAGAATCCATCGAATCCCGAGCAAGTACCCGGCTCGTCCTACAGCGGTCTCTTCGGCTTGGAGGATGACGCCGATAGTCGAAGTGATGTGGACGAGTTTGAGGGCGAGGACGGCGATGAGAGTCATGGCGAATCGAAGTGGACGTACAACTATTGGCAAGTAGAAGGTTTTCATCATCCGGCCTTTCTTAATGGTGATGGTCATCATCCTGGTCCTCATCATCCTTCAACCTCTCATCAACCGATGATCACCCCTGGCGGCCGTAGCTCAAACACAACCAAGAGACGCATCCCTCCATTCAAGGAACTCAAGGGTGTCACTGCCTACGACATCTCTGCCAGAAGGTTCAACGATGATGAGAGCTACATCAGCGACTTCAACCCTCAGCATTCTCCCCTGATCCCCTCCAACCTACATGTCGCCGAACTCAGACCGGAGGAGAAAGAACGCTTCGAATGGCAAGATATGCTCACCAACGTCCTCACCGGTGAAGTACTCCGGACCGAGAAGACCAGGATCTCAGAAGTATCAGGCGCCAAAGATACCAGTATGCGCCAACAGGACGCTTCGAGGATGTCCGACATCTGGGTCGGATTACGTGCCTACTTGCGATGTCGATCGATTGCCGACGAACAACGCTACCTAGAAGATGCTCGACTCCAGATGGACCAAGTACTAGAGGACGTGCGCAAGTTCAAGCTATCCTCCAGAATCCCAAAGGATGAGGCCATCCAACGCGTCCAATCTTTACTACTCAGAGTCGATTGGTGTGAGGCACTCTATCCTTCAAACAAATCACTAGGAAGGGAGAGACCGGCTTGGAAAGAACCCGAGATCGTCTCAAAACTCGAAACCCTTCGCTCTTGGGACAATAACGTACGAGGACTCAGGGTCCAGATCGGAATCCTACAAAAATTCATGCGCGCTGATAAACTAGATGTCATCCATCCTAACGTCTCCCATCCATCATCATCATCCGCCACATCATCCCTCGATCCATCCAACCCGGCATCACCTCCGAACGACTCCGATCCTCGTATCTCATCCCCCCCTAGCTCTCAAAACAACATCCCTGCCAATTCGAGACCCACAAAACAACTCCTGGAACCTTCGACGTTTGTCGAAAGAATCTTACAGGAAGGATCAGTCAATCGACTCTTTGCTCAAAATACGTTTGACAATCTCAACCGATTGATCATCAAGGCCAAGGAAACCATGATCAAATTCTTGACCTCCTTCGAAACCTTCAGATTACCGTCCTATCGAGACGATCTCTTAGTTCTGGCCAACTTTGCGCCCTCACTCATGCAAGAGGTCCTAAGGATCAGGCTTCAAAACGTCAAACTCTTACGGAGTGATCTCTCAGAGCTTCCACCAGTCTTACTTCAACAGCTGACCGATGATTTCCGGACGAGCTTGACTCATGCGACTGCCGTCAAAAAGTTTTGGATGGAAATCATGAAGGCTGAGACAAATTGGGATATGTGTTTACCTGAGGCCGAACGACAAGCTTTTGACGAAACCTTAACAAACGCCTTGAAATTCTTCTTTAGATTGTTGAACACTCACATCCTAACCGGTAGTAATAAAACTCTAGATTCGAAAGATACTGAGGTCGTCGAAGGCGAATGGGGTTTCCTAAAATCAGCAGTGGCTGAGATCGAAGGGGGCGATGTCCTATTGGGAGAACATTACAGGTGAGTAATCAGAGAGATCTTTGTCTCATTCATCGGTTTACTCTATGTACAGTTTCTCTAGAGATTAATCATTTTTAATTTTACACCTCGAAAATAATCAATCATTCAGCACACTCACTCATCGGCTGATGTCACGGGTCCATCATTTCTTTGACACCAATCTAGACATTGCCGAGCGACGATTGAGTGCACGAAAAGTCAACGTTCCAGAATTAGTGAGATGGAATGAGCTGATCCTCTCCTCACTTCGTCAACGGCATCGCAAAGTACTCCGGTTCAGTCGGACGATCCTCAGTCGGTTCGAAAACTCGGCCGAGTATGCACTGGAGAAATACGCAATCGATCTCAGTTTTTTTGTCGGTGGGCTCAACGAAACAAACCATTTCTTAATCTATACCGGCAACTTTGAGCGTGACGGAATATATCTCGTCGGCTCTCCCTCACTCTCCCAGCGTCCCGATATCGTCTCGGCATTACTCTCTAAATGCTTCCACATCCACACCCAACCGGATTACGAACCACCGTTGACGCGTAACCACAAGAGTTTTGATTTCGCAGAAGTTGATGGATTCCAGCCCGATCCTTTCTTACCCACCAGTAATCCAGCAAACGATGAGACGGCCTCCATTCATGGAACCAATTCGAATGGGAAGGTTAATTATCCACACTACATCCTTATCCTCTCCCCTCGAGACCCGTTCATGTGGACTGGACAAGTGATGAATATTGATCTGCCCAAGGTGGAACTCGACGTTCGGGATCATCGAGTTAGGCTGGTAGCCGACGGACCGGGCCAACACCTCTATCTCGCCAAATCAGCCTTCCTCGGCACCTTTCCTGCATTTCGAGCGTTGACTGTTGTTGATCAGAAGGCCCATCTGTTCCGGGTGAACCGGGAGATCAAGAAGATCAAACGGGCGAGTTATCGGATGAGCGAGACGGTCATCAAGAGCGTTGATCGGATCATCCTTGCCGTCAAAAAAGCTCCAGGCTCGGAGCCCCTCTTATCGGCTTACTTCAACTTCGCCGCCGAACTCTCTGAGCGAAGTATGAGGTACATGGAGAAAGCAATCCGAGAACGGTATACGGCTCTGTTGATTCAGTTCGGGATCAAGTGGATCTCCTTCGTCTCCGATGATTGTAAGACGGATGATTTGAAAACCTTCAGGGCAGCCGTGAATGCGCTTGAATTTGTGATGGAGAAGACGAAGGATGACATGATTCTAGAATTGAGTCACGAGGAGTTTGTTCGATTGAGGTCGAAGGTGGCCAGTTGCATGTCGCTCCTGATCTCCCATTTTGACGTCCTAGGAGCCCGAAGCAAGGCAGAGGCTAAGCAGCAGAAGGAACGGCTGGATGCCCAACGGCAGGAGATGAAGTGGCGACTGGACAACAAGATGGCCCACATGAAGGGGCGCGATTGGTCGATGGTTGCGGGAGAGGGCCGGACGGCGAAGAGTCGGGAAGGGATCGACTCGGCCCTATCGAGTCTCAGCGAGCGACGAGAGCGATGGAGAGGACCGTTGGAAGCGCTCGATGCCACCCGACACGAGAAGCTCGCCTCGCTTGGCCTCGCCGGCCAGGAGCTCGACCACAACGCCAGCGACAACCGTGGCCTGCTCTTCCTCGCCTCATCCTCTTCTAACATCTCCATCCGCTGGCAACAGGGTAGATACGTCGGCGGAGGCACCTTTGGCTCAGTCTATCTTGCCGTCAACCTTGACACCGGCGACGTCATGGCCGTCAAAGAGATCAGACTACAGGATATCACTACTGCTCCTAAACTCGTCAATCAGATCAGAGACGAAATGAATATTATGTCCTTACTTAGGCACCCTAATATCGTGGAATACTTCGGGATCGAAGTCCATAGAGATAAGGTGTATATCTTCCAAGAGTTCTGCGAAGGTGGTACCCTGGCCGCTCTCCTCGAAAACGGCAAAGTCGAAGAAGAACTTATCTGCCAGATGTACGCCCATCAACTATTAGAAGGATTAAATTATCTTCATTCAAATAATGTCGTCCATAGGGACATTAAACCAGACAGTCAGTCCTTCAGTCCATTTCCTAACAGTATGATCGGATGCTAACGAGAAGGGGAAAAAAATGTAGATATTTTGTTAGATAAAGAAGGTAAATTGAAATATGTAGACTTTGGAGCAGCGAAAATCCTAGCGAAGGAGTCGAGGACGCTGGCGTCGAAGCGCTCGAAGCGGCCCAGTTCATGGATGGCAAAAGGCGGCGGAGGCGGTGGAGCGCATGGCGACCACAACGCCTCGATCACCGGCGTCCAGATGAATAGCTTGACCGGCACCCCGATGTACATGAGTCCCGAGGTCATCAAGGGCGAGGAGTTCGGCCGTCCGGGGGCTATGGATATCTGGAGCTTGGGCTGCGTCGTCCTCGAATGTGTCACCGGGAAAAGACCGTGGAGTAATCTGGATAACGAATGGTGAGTGATTCGGCTCTATTCTTCAAATCCATCCCCCATCTTTTCGGGGGGGGGAGATATGTATATAAGAGATGATATTGATCTTCCTTGTTTTTTTTGGGGGGGGTATTATAGGGCAATCATGTTTCATATAGGCATAGCCACCAAACATCCACCCTTACCTGATCCACAAGAGTTATCGGAACTAGGGATCGACTTTATCCGGAAATCGTTAACATTAGATCCGGTGACCCGGCCGACGACTATGGACCTGTTAAACCATCCCTGGATGAAAGATCTCGAGGCCTGTCTGATCGAGATGAACGAGGACAACGAGGAGTACAATAATTCGACGTCCAATAATCATCATCCCTCGTCTTCCTCTACATCCTCCTCTGCCTTCATTCTCCCGCCCCAACAACAACAACATCAACAACAACAACAACAGGAACAACAACAACAGGAACCAGATCATCAGGATCATCAGGATCCTAATCAGAAGCTTTTCAATCAAATCGAACATCTCTCTCTTGCTCAGAAAACCGCGCTGCATAGCTTGCCCGAAGTCGAAGAATCCTCCGATTCTTGAATGCCTTTCTCTTCTTCAATCCCCCCTCCTCCCCACCACTCCTCATTTTTAGATCCTTAGACTTTTTTTTTCTATCTCATTCTCCTAACGCATCTCTTTTTTTTTCCCTTTCTCTCTTTCGTTACCATTTTATGGTCGTTTAGGAAGATGCACTGGTTTCTCTGACTTATTTTCATTCAAAGAATAACACGAGTTGGGCAGGGGCATGGAGAGATGTGCAAAGACTTAGTTGAGAAGGAGTGTCGAAAATAAATAAATAAAACCTGAAACTGGACCATCGGGTCGGATCGGATTGGATCAAATGATTCTTTTTTGTTCACGTTCGAACCAGAAATGTCGAAAATATTTAAGCTTAACTATCCATACTTCCATAATCATTTGTTGTAAGAAAATATATATATATATATTTGATTGATGATAAATATGTACCCACACCCTCGTTTTTTTCTGTATGTTCGTACCTATAAAAGCTTATATACATATTTACATATATAGAATACGGTCGCTCTGTTTTTTTTTTTTTTGAGTATCACTGTTAAATAAGTCTTAGATTTTTCTTTCTTTCTTCAGTTGTTGTTGTTGTTCAAATGGATAGATACAAATACATCGATACTTGTAATTTTTGTCTCGACAAATAATGCCATCAGCTGGAATGGAATGTGTCGTTTGGTCGAGAGGGGCAAGTCTATTGGTCCGTGGTCAAGTCGATCAACTCCCTCCAACCTCCGAGGAACTTCACTCAGGAAGGAAGGAGCTCACGCAGTAACCCTGGCCTTGCGACTCGTAACATCCTCAAGAGGTCTGAGAGGGGCTGGCAATGGCATCATCAAATATCCTTACTGCCCTGCGACAGAGGATCTGCCAGAGGTACAGTCATCGACTCCCCGCAGGCTGCTCTGTTAAGAAAAGCTGGCCAGACTTGTGAGAAAGGGTCCATGGGGGGACATTGCAATTCCTGATCCACTCTCAACGCTTCTTTGCAGCCGGCATCTGCCGTCTGTAATCAGCTTTTCTATGTAGTCAGCTTTGACTCCCACTAATTCAGGAGATCCTCATCTTCCGCACATCTGTTTGTTTCTTTTGCTGCTTGCAAGTCGTCTGCGGGAACCTCTCAGAAATTGGCAATGCCCATCCCATGGCTTCACCTCAATCGGCCCGTCCAATCATCCCTTCAAAGTCATTACTTGAGCCCTGCCTGCCAGTCTTTTTCTGCCTCCTCAACACCAGGGACGGAAACGCCCTGGCAAGCGAGGCTTGCCCCTCCCTTCATGCAGCTGCAGGTTTGTGCGATTCGGGTAAACTCATGCCACTAGCCAAGGCAGCCTTATCTCACTTCATTCGGCTAAAATGTATCGTCACATTCGATGGAAAAAAAAAAAAAAAACGGAAAACCATCAAATTGACTTTTCGTCTGTTCTAGAATCTGTCTACGACACAGAAGAAGCGATTCGTTATCCAACAGATACGCCGATGATGCAGACCAGTCAGTATCTTTTCCACCGTACCTAGCATCAAGATATTGCTTCGAAAAAAATATATTTGGGAATTGATGTGAATGCAGATCTAGAGAAGAAGATATGGAGAAGCTACAAGGAGACGTTTGAACGACTTTCAGATTGGCGAAGGGCTGTGATACGAAGGGCGGCGCGTCAACCTCAACAGATGGGAGCAGCGCGTCGTCTGAGGAAGGCTAGACAGCGGAAGAAGAAGATGGTGGATGCGGGAAGAGGATTGACAAACCTGTTCGAGAAACGGATCTACGAGCTACGAGGTGCGCCGTTTCTGTTCAAGACAGGCGAAGGTCATTGGCAAGTATCAGCCGATGTGTCCCAGTCAATAATCAAGAGTTGGGAAGGCATGTGGCTATGATTGATTGCGCAATTGGACGAGATCTGGAACGGGTTGATGGACATTGAAGAGTGTTTCGAAGATCTCGGGCTGATGGGATATGGCAGCGACTTGATCATCCTCTTCTTCAACATCTTCCACACCTATCAAATCGTCACACACAAACGTCTGGCATATTTCTTGAATGAGGAAAATCGGGGCAGATTGATCTTCTCGTACTCCGTCAGCAGGTTCTCCTCCACTCAGTGGCATCTGTCTCTCAGAGACACTTACAGAAACTTCAACCTCAAACTAAGCCTTCAAGAAAGCCGCTTGACAAAAAATCTTGCAGGCCTCCTGAAGCGTCAGTCACACATTCCGATCCTGCTGCTTTAACCACAAGCTGACAAAAAAAAACTTCCTTTTGCATTTCTTTTTCGTCACTTTTACATGCACATGTGACAGTCTTGGATTGGGACACTTGGGGATCCATCGAATTTGAATATCTGGCCACTGAGCTTTCACAAACAACGTATGATAGATCACTTCCCCAGGATTTACGAGCCATGAAAGCCACGTTCCTTGAATTTGCAGGATCCCCGTCCCAAGACAAGCTTTCAGTGGCTGAGCTGGAGGGCCTCTTGAGAAGATTAGTGACTTACATATCGGAAGAGTTACCACACCAGATGCTGGGATCACATTCAAGTGATTTCATCGAATTCAAACTGCTTTATGACATGTTCAGCTTCATCGTAAGATATCACACACATATCCTTTCTGAAGGACTCCTCAAAGAAATCCAGCAATCCAGCAAATTTGATAGAATCTGTGCATTTGAGCAGGCTGCTGGGCTTCTCTCCAATGCATTATATTCCCTTCATGTGAGAAGGTGTGAATTTGAAAAATACCTGGTAGAAGCTAAAAACTCACATTATTTGATTGATTCTAACCAGAAAAGGAGTTATACAATCTTTGAGGTTGAAGACATGGAGGCTATAGATCTTGATCATTTCTTTGAAGCTCAAGGTTCAGTGAAGGATGAATTGAATGAATTTCACTCTAGGGTTGCATCCAATTTACCAAGAATTTGTGGAAACCAATGTCCAGAAATCGATTCTTCAATCAAACAATTATCAACCCAATTCCAAGTTTATCTGCTCAGACTGAACAGAATCACAGCCCAAAACAATCCTGAAAATTCACAATTTCTCAGATTCATCCAAAGTTTCAAAGATAAAGCAGTGGATCTTGTCCAAAAAGATGAGAAATATTATCAGGAATGGTTTGCTATGCTGAACAAATGAAAATGGGTTCATTACCATATCTTTATATATGATTGGTGTTCTCAAAATGGGTTTCTTCAATTTCAAACAGCATCCTGAAAAATAAAATCCTATAGATTTATACAAAAAACAACAAGAAATCTGATGATTGATCTGAATCAAAGCAGATGCTTTTGGACATCTTGGAATTACGAGTTTACAAAGACAGAAATCTGTTCAAAAAATTGATTTTGAATACCAGCCTTCCCACTTCAACTGAGAATGGACTGATTCTCCAATTAAGCTGATTTACGCTTTGATTTGATGATTATTTTGAATTGTGAGAATTTTGACTTATGCACCCAAATTCCAATGAACAGATGATCCAATATTGAGGCTGGATATAATGAAAAGAAAACTGGGGAAGCATCAATTGTAACATGCGGGTTTCCCCCAAAAGAGCGGGTTATTTCCCACAAAATAGGATTATTTAGCAATGGATATAGCCCCTTATCTGATGTAACATGCGGGTTTCCCCCAAAAGAGCGGGTTATTTCCCACAAAATAGGATTATTTAGCAATGGATATAACCCCTTATCTGAATCATCATGACATCCCAGATTAATGTAGAGCTTTGGAGGATGAGTTTTCAATCCATAATTTCATTCTGTAGAGGTATTCAAATTTGATGCATAAATCCACAAACAGAAAATCATAATCAACTTTTTTCTGGGACCTGCTTACATAATGGGTCTAGGAAAATGACTCCCGAAAAGGTTGAAAAACAACTCCCCTTGGCAGGACTGTTGATGGAGGGTTGTTGGGAGTTAATGTTCCCAATCACCTACATGATAGCAGGGTTTGCAACAGCCTTTTTTCTTTCTTACACCTTGATTTCTTCTCCGGCTCATGCGTGGCTTGAATAAACTGAGCTGAACATTCAAGCTTTGGGACTGAACTCTAATCCCAAAACAGTGCTGTGGCTCCTTGTGTGGACTTGAAAGGCTTCTCACAAGAAGCTATCCTGAACCCTACTCATATCAGGGTGACATCAGGCCAATTTTGGTCAGCTTCCCAGTGTTCACTGTTGACCTGATTTGGGCAACCACGTCTTGCAAGACACAATGGGGCCATAATTTTTGAGTTTATGCTCTGATTGTCAGATGATTCTGAGGAGGACAGAAGATATGAGAGAGGGATTTTGAAAGAGGAGCTGGATGTTTCAGTCTTTTCACTAGTTGATGGAACTTTGTCTGGGATGGTCATGAGTGGAAAAAGCTCTGACTTGACAACTTCATTGCAATGAGACTAGGTAGCTACTTAAAATAGGAAGACAAGATATCTGTGGAAGGAAATTCCACTACAAAACCAGCTAGTCCTGGTATTAACTTCAAAGTAAGCCTCTCTGCCAAGAGGTGTGCTTTTAAGGAAATGGGGGAAGAAGGGGGGGGGGTTAGAGTCTAGACAAGATAGTCACAAACCCCTCTCACCAGGTAGAAGCTTGCATTGAGTGAGAAGGAGGTCTCAAAGTGGTGTAGGGTGTTCTCAATCACTAAGCCCTGGAAACTGCCCTTGGGTCTCCCCTTTGAGAAATGAATGGGTGGGCGGGAGCAACGGTGCAACAGAGACAATACAATACGGTATCAGGCGTTTATCTGTATTGTCTCAGAATTTGAATACCCAAAAATACTGGATTTGTGTTGTCTCACTTTCCTGAGACAATACTCACGTATTGTCTTTGGAAAGTGAGACAAGTATTCTGTATTGTCTCAGATGACTGATCCCACCAAAAACGTATTTGATACATAAGATATTTGGCCGTATTGAAGAAAAAACGAAAAAAACGAAGACGATTTTTTTTCATTTGTAAATCTGAATCTGATACAATATTTTTTTCACCAACCAAGGAAATACTGATACCGGTATCAGACTCAAAATAAATACAATACAATCCAATACAAATACATGTCTCGTATCTGTTGCACCGTTGGTGGGAGGCTCTGAAAAAATGACATGGCAGACTTAAAGCTTTGATGGCAAGGAGCTGGGCGCAAGTCTTGGGTGGTTGGTTGTTGGAGAGTAGAGAGGTGGGGCGGGGAGAGCGATTGTCTATCCTCTTTGTAGTACTACTACTATACACAACACCAACTAGACAGGCCTGTGCGCTCAGGCAATGCTGCAACAAATAGGGTATTTGCAATGTATTGGCATGTATTTTTTCATGTATCACTAGTATATGCCCCCAAATTTGGGGAGGCTGCTTGTTTTTGCCCCGGATGTTGGGGGTTTTGCTCGATGTCCTTTGGGGTTTTGTTGAGTTGGACACCTGTCTGCCTCGATCTAACGCTGGCGTCGACAAATCCAACAAATGTGAATTGGAGGTCGACGCCGGCGTGAGATTGCATGACAGTTTGTTTGGCTCTCTAAGCCTACTTTTTTAGTTATATGTAGATGGTCTTGATGGAATTTTTGTTCATGACCAATGTGGTTCTATTGAGAGTCTTATTAATTTAACCTGGCTCTTTGCCATATATGTTGGTACAATTCCTCATGATACAAACTGTGTATTGTATTTGTTGCAGCGTTGGCTCAGGGGTCTGCCCAAGTGTGTTCCTGAACATAGGCATGCCAGCTGCATCACCACATTTCTGTGGACTCTGGTAATTAGCAAACTTAACTAAGTTCCTTGGGGCGTTGATAAACGCACTCCCTCCCCCTCCCCGCACGCCCACGCCCACGCCCCTCCAAAAGAGGCGTGCAATTGAACCCGCCCCTCCTGGAGGGGTGGGTTTGATTGCACGCCCCTTGGAATCCTGTTTTTTCGAGGAAACAGCCTTCCGAGGGGCGTGCAGAAGCACCTGCCCCTCCAGGAGGGGCGGGTGGGTTTGCACGCCAGCCAAGAACCGAGATAGCTTGGTTCTTGGATGGATTTGAATCCAGCCCATCGGGAGGGCTTCCTCCCGATGAGCTGGACTGTGTAGCAGCTCATTGGGAGGAAACCCTCCCAATGAGCTGGTTTTAAATCCAGACCATCGA